GAATCTTTAACACATGATTTTATATCAGCTGATCGGGAAACTCCTCCTTGGATTTCTAGAATTATTCAGGAAGACGATGTTCATATCCGCCACAGCATCAGTGTTCGTCTGGTATCCGAGGAGGTTAATTTTGATAATTTTTAAAATTTACATAGTAGTTTCCTATGGTCATAATAGTTCAGAGATTATTTTTCTGGAAACTGATTCCATGTGAGGCTTTGACATCTGCTTTGTATTTACTTTTCCTTCCAAGGACAGTACACTGCAGTACAAAAAATGCGTACACCTCTAAAATAACTTTCCTTGCAAGTCAGTCAGTCAAGTCAGGCTCTACTCTACATAACATTGCACTGGTTACCCTCACATCTGACTGCATGATGTTACGATGAGTTAGTATATTTAAAACAGTGCATACAGAAATATGAATTAGGTTCTTAAAGGCATGGTACTTTTACTGAGCTTCCCCTTGAAAATATCTTTCCAAGAGGTTCTGAAGAAACCTCCCATGTTACTCCATTGTAAATCTCCATTGTACTACCAGTACCAAACATGGTAAGATTTCCCTTATAAACATGCAGGTTTGGGAAGGCTACAGCTGATTTTAAGCTGGCAATGTTTCTCCAGGTTCTACTTTCCATATTGTACACCTCCACAACAGATACAACACTTAATAAAGGATTGATTTTAATTTGACATAAAAGAAAAATGTGTGGAAAGAGTTGTAATGATGATTGTCAGATAAAAATATTGCAAAATTTAATAAAAGCAAAATTTTAGCTTAAGACACACAGTTTTGAAATCTTAAAAGTTTTATTACAAATGCTTTATTAAAACGAACCAAAACGAATATTAGCATTAATTCAAAGGAATAACACAGTATAGATTTTACAATTAATAAAAAAAACTGCACTGACTTACCCTCCGTTAGACCCTCCTGCAGCATAGATTTCTCCCTGGTGAATATCACACCCTAGGTGATCCCTATACAATTTTAAGAACTTTTATAACTACAAAATGCGAAATTATTTCTTCATTTATTGCTTTAAAAATACACTAATATCTTTTTTAATGTGTCTAGAAGTTTTCAGATGTAGTCTTCTGTATTCTATTAAATTTAAATTCACAAAACTTTCTGTAACCATTTTTTTTTGGGGGGGGGGCCTTCAGCCTCTAGTGGGGCCAAAACCTTAAAATCATAGATTTCACTGATCCAGGGATGTGACTGAGTCCAAAAGCCATCCTTTCCCCTAAGTAAGCCTCTGCAGGCTGTTTTACACACTACTCACTTAACCTAACAAATCTGTATTTGAGTATAATTCACCTTCCAGTGAGAAGGTTTGGAAGTGTTTCAACCAGATTACCATCAACATCATATTTCTCTACCTTATTCATACGATTTACGCCACCAATCATAATCAGTTCTGTATCACTAGAAACCAAAAATTCATATTTATCATCATTTATCAAATGCAAATATATCAGGGGGATCGAGGGCGGAGGTTAAATGAGAGAAACTAGGAAAAGTAAGTTTATGCCTAGTACAGTTTAATCTTGAAGAGACAGTGAATATATTTCTAAGTAACACTTTATTTGAAAAATATGATGTCTGCTTCTGCTGTAGAAATCACAATTTTTTAAATCAGATAAAATATATATGACATCAATTTGCCCGGACGAAGGTTAAAAAAATAACACTGTGCATTATTTGAACAAATTAAGCCACTTGACATTTCGTTTATATTAACTTTGCATTATTGTTACCTAATTCCGACAGCACAGTGAGCACATGTATTACTGCTTAGCTTTGTGCTAAGGGTTGTCCAGGTTTTACCATCAAAACGCTCAATAGTAGCAATACTTGAAAGTAAAAATAACTTTACTAAGATACAGTTAAGAGTTAAGATGTGAATGCAAAAATGAACACATCATAATTTGCTATTCTGATTAACAATTGCCCACCAATAAAACCATTATTATAATTTAGATTCAAACTATTCTAATTTCACAATATAGAGGGACTATTAAATAAAATAGCTCTAATTTAGATTNATTTAGATTCAAACTATTCTAATTTTAAAATATAGAGGGACTATTAAATAAAATAGCTCTAATTTAGATACAAACTATTCTAATTTCACAATATAGAGGGACTATTCAATAAAATAGCTCTAATTTAGATTCAAACTATTCTAATTTCATAATATAGAGGTACTATTAAATAAAATAGCTCTGATTTAGATTCAACTTATTCTAATTTTAACAAAATAGAGGGACTATTAGATAAAATAGCTCTAATTTAGATTCAAACTATTCTAATTTCACAATATAGAGGGACTATTAAATAAAATAGCTCTAATTTACAAACAAACTATTCTAATTTCACAATATAGTGGGACTATTGAATAAAATAGCTCTAATTCAGATTCAAAGTATTCTAATTTTACAATATAGAGGGACTTTTAGATAAAATAGCTCCAAACTATTCTAATTTCACAATATAGAGGGACTATTAAATAAAATAGCTCTAATTTACAAACAAACTATTCTAATTTCACAAGATAGTGGGACTATTAAATAAAATAGCTCTAATTTAGATACACACTATTCTAATTTCACAATATAGAGGGACTATTAAATAAAATAGCTTTAATTTAGATTCAAACCATTCTAATTTCACAATATAAAGGGACGATTAAATAAAATAGCTCTAATTTAGATTCAAACTATTCTAATTTCATAATATAGAGGGATTATTCAATAAAATAGCTCTAATTTAGATTCAAACTATTCTAATTTCATAATATAGAGGTACTATTAAATAAAATAGCTCTGATTTAGATTCAACCTATTCTAATTTTAACAAAATAGAGGGACTATTAAATAAAATAGCTCTAATTTAGATACAAACTATTCTAATTTCACAATATAGTGGGACTATTAAATAAAATAGCTCTAATTTAGATACAAACTATTATAATTTCATAATATAGAGGGACTATTAAATAAAATAGCTCTAATTCAGATTCAAAGTATTCTAATTTCACAATATAGTGGGACTATTAAATAAAATAGCTCTAATTTAGATACAAACTATTCTAATTTCACAATATAGTGGGACTATTAAATAAAATTACTCACGGGAATGAATTGTCAACATAGCCTCCAGTCATGATAATAAACTGTCCTAGAGATGGGCAACGTGTCTCTTTTTCAAAAAAGCAAGATTTTTTTGTGAACGATGGAGTCGTTTGGAAAAATTGATGAATGGAAAATAGGACTGGGCGTGTTCCTATTTATTTGAAATCGTTTGGTCTTTGTTCAATAACGAGGGCCTTAACAGGATCGTTCGTTTCTCATTTATTCTTTTCAATCTTAGTGTTCTTGATTAAGAACAGTTTGAGCCGTTTGTGAGTGTCGGATTATTGTTAGAGATAAAGAATGTTAACAATTTTGATCGATTCTAGTCAAGAACAGGGGTTTTCAGCTAAAAAATGTCGTTTACATTTTATCATTTGAGCTACAGATCTAAAACTTTTATATCCAAAAGACCTTTAAAAATGGATGCACTATACGTGTCACATGTAGGGATGGACACATAATTTCAGTTGAAGGGCTTTATTAATTTGATGTCCTCCTCCGTGTTGCCTTAAATTGTCTGTATGCGTACTGTACATTGTACAGTTTGCTATAGATGCTTAAAATTCGGCCCGGTACATGAAATAAACCAGAGTTTACATTGGTTTTAGATCTTTACTTTATAAAAGTTTTAATTCTGTAAGATAACATAGTTTAAAATATGAAAGGTTTACACCAACAGCATTCAAAGATAGATGGATTCAAATATTAGAATTCTGTAAGATAACATAGTTTGAAATATGAAAGGGTTACGCCAACAGCATTCAAAGATAAATGGATTCAAATATTAGAATTCTGTAAGATAACATAGTTTGAAATATGAAAGGTTTACACCAACAGCATTCAAAGATAGATGGATTCAAATATTAGAATTTGTGGCAAATTCTTCTCTAATCCCTATATCTTTGCAACCCAATGGCTTTGATATTTCAAACTATAAATCATGTTAGGTCAACCAGTCTAAGTTAGAAATAGCAATAGTTGTCAGCAATAAATTGCAAAGATATAGGATTATATAATTTGAGTTTGCGGCAAAGACTCAATTCCTTTAGATTTAGAACAAGTTACTGATTTTTAACATTGACGATTCCAGACCGTTCTTCACAATCAAATACCGTTTGTTCCACATTTTTAAGTATAAATCGTTACAATATTTTCAAGAGCGATTGTTCTTAATAATTTTCTTTGTTCCAGTAAAGGATGCTAGTTCCCTAGGAATGACGCCCAGTCCTAATGATTGACAAACAAATGGGATCGTTCAAAGAAATAAAACAAAAGCAAACAATTTAAAATTGTTACGATTGCATTTTATTGATCAGTGAAACTAATAAAGACGCTGTCTAAATAGTTGGTTTGAACAAACATAAAAACTATTATTTTTACTGATAAACGTTTTTAATACTTTTTTAACAAACTTAAATAGAATAAAATTTTCTTGAACAAACAATTTTACTGAACAAACAATTGTTCAGTGAGAAAACAAAGAAAATAGATCTAAAATGAAGGATGAACTAATGAATGCGCCCATCTCTACTCTCCTACAGTCGTTAATGTTGGGTTCTGTCTAGGTGGTGAAACACAGTCAGGTTTATCCTCCCAACCTCCAACAGACACCATGCTGCGGTGGAAACACCTGTGAAAGAATAAATGTATCATTTTCTCTCAGAAAAATAGAATTCATGGAAATTTAAACCCTTGAGGGATTCAATGATTAAAAGGGCACATAAGTTGAAAAGTTACATGATCTTAACCATTACCAGGATTGTAGTGTTTAGTCGTACCAGCCCGTCTAATGTAAGTGTTTGACCAGAGCTGGCGATTCCAAAAATTCAAGAAAATACGACTCAGGTCTAAGCTGTCATTGGGCCTTATTTATGGCTTGAGCTTTTTGGATTTTACTTGCATCTAATTGTTTACTGAGTTTAGCTCATAAAACTGCTTTAATACTGTATTTTCATGAGTGGAATTGGCCCATTTCGGGTTTTGATGAGAGCAAGACTCACCATTGAGCCTTTATTCTCCACTAACACCAACAAAGGTCGGTTTTCTTTTCATTGAGCTTAACTCCTTAAGTCAAGCATAAGATATCGAAGCTGTCAATCATGTGACACGAGCGGCAGTTAGAGTTGGGTCTTAGGGCTTTAAAACTGGGCTTAAGGAATTACAACACAAGTAGAAGCTTTTAAATCGCGGGCTCAGGTGGGGCTGGATCTTAGCTACCTGTTCATGTGTATTAGCCTGAGTGTACACTTAGGATGGTAAACTGATAATGAATATTAAAAGATTATGGCTTATTCATACAGTTCAAACTTCAAATTTTCGGCTTTCGGAGTACAAGTGTACGGGGAGGTTTTGCATCAATTGAATTTTACTCAGTTTTCTAAGAATCGTTAATTAATGATGAAATATTGCTCTGTAAAAGACTGTAATTTTACGTCTCCCTGTGAAAATGTAACCCTGCATACGAATGGAGTAGGGGATTTTTATAGTTACATTAAAAACAAATTCTCCATTTAAATATTTTCAGAAATCACTCCCAAGTACTGTAATATACAGATTGACCATTAGAAGTGAAGTACATGGTTTGTACAGTTAGGATTAACGTACATTATGACTCTGTATACTATAACCTCGTTGTGCTTGAACCAGAGTTTATGCAACAATGTTAGTTGGGCGGAAGTATATGTAAGGCTTTATCATTGAATCCCTTGAGGGCAGGGTTTTTTAGTCTTTAGTCATTAATTTTGACTCTTTTTGAGTCTTTTAAGTCAAATAAATTTTCGCCTGTGGCAAGATTTTTTGTTCCTAATAATTCATTTTATTGGTCCTAAAAAATCTTGCCCCCCCCTCGCTTAAATCCTGTATCCGCCCCTGCTTGAGGGGTTAAATTTCAATTGATTTAATCTTTCTGAAAGTAAGTGACAATCCTTTTTCAAGTGCTAGTTTAAATAAAGGATCATTCGTATGTAATTCAATTCCCTGTTTGCTAATTTTATAGACTTAACAATTTTGACAAAAGAGACAATATCCTAGAAATTAAAAATGAAAATGTACAACATTTTCAATCCATGGCTTTTGAAAGCATTAGTCCAGAATTCAGAATTGTAAAAACCAATACGATCATGTTAACTCAAACCAAGTCTGTAGGTCTATTTATTTTCAGATTGCTAACGAACTAAAATATCCGTTTTTGAAAGATACAGTGGTAGGTGATTATATCAATACAATCAAAACAACTTTTTATCTAAGTTTTGATTAAGGTTTTTTCGAATTACAAGTTTACAAGTAATCAAAGAGAATTTTTTTTAAATGAAAGCTTTCCTAGACTTTGATGTTTATAGGTATCCGTGCTGTTAAACGGCTTGATATCAAAATCAAAATTTAAATCAAAAGTCGTCTTCATTGTTTCGATATAATTGTAAAATTTTTAAATAAAATTAAATTTTTTTATGTTCTCTTTTTCGGCACACATTTTTACTTTGAAAGAATTTAGAGGACAATAGTTCAAAACTGTATTTATATGTTTCCAAAATGAAACATTTGCCTAAGGTTGGATTTTGTTGTTTGAAAAATAATACATTTTGATAAATTTTGTATCATAGGGAGGCAGAATTAAGGATTAAAAATTTACCACAAATAATTACTTTCATAAATTGTTTACAAAAATTAAGCAAAATCATGTGTTTAATGTAAGTTTAAATTTTTTTGATATTTTCATTGACCCTGCTCAAAGGGTCTCCATCTAAATTGCGATTTTCGGTTTTCAACGGGATCCATATTTTTTTCCATTTCCATTATGAAAAAGGTTTCGGAATTTGTAATCAATTCGGCAACGGTCTTTTTTCCATAAACGGAAATTTCCGGAACCACTATTTCAAAATTCAAGAACGTTACGGAATTGCAAAAAAATTTCAAAAATATATTTCCGATTAAAATAGAAAAAAAAATGCAATGGAATCCAAAATATATCCTAAGATGGAATTTAAAGAATTTGAGCCGCGGTTTAAATCCGCCTAAACCCGATTTAAATTCAGCGCCGGCTTAAATCTTGAAACATTTGATACAATTTTAAATGAAACCAACCATATTTAAACCGCGGCTTAAATTTAAACCGCCGCTCAAATTCTTTAAATTCGGCCACTGGTTTCCTTTTGTTCGGAATTATCCTGGAATTCTTCTTAACAGGCACATTTCCAAAAATATTCCATTTTAAAAATGGTCCCCCCCTATGAAAACCAAACCTAAAATATATAATAAAGCTTTGCTGTTGTTCAATAAACATATTTACCGATACTTTTAATTCTTCTTGCCTTCCACCTATTTATTCTATGTTCATGCAATAAACCTTGCATTAATATTTTGCTTACTTGTTAGTTTGAAAATTGTAGATATGAACCTTTCCTTTCAGAGTAGCAATCCCTAAAAATAGATGATTACGGATTATTGGTTCAGAAGAAAATCTTCAAAGAAAAAAACTATTTTTAACAAATTTTACCTCCTCGCATAAAATAAGTTTCTGCAGGTAAAGCAAAGTTACAGGGATAGGATTGCACCAAATCAGTTCCTAAATAAATTTTTACTTGTTTTAATGAAATTTCTGCCTTAAAGCCTTGAATGCATACTGTTTAAAGTTCCAAAATAAGTTTCCAATCGTCAGTATTTATTATGTTTAACCTCCTACCTTCACCAATGAGGAGAAAATTTTCTTTCTCATTCTAAATAATAACTAAATAATTTTATTGTACAACAAATTTCATAAAAACCAAGATTTCAAAAATTTTAAAAATTTAATCTAAAAATGTGGGGGCAGAGTAAATCTACTCACCAGCAACTTGAACGCTTCAGTTTCTATGAAAACAGGGAATGCTTCTTCAAGCGGAAGCTCCTCCAGTAAACTCAACTGCATAAAACAAATCATATGATTTACAATAATCTCACAAAAAGGAGATGACTCATTTGTACTGTCCTGCTTTAACTTTCTATGGTCTGTTGTACAACTTACACTAAATTCAAATAAACCGGAGTTTACAGTGGATCAGCATCATGAAGAATCAGATGACAATTTTTGTGAAAAATAAATCATCTTGTGCAGGGCCATACAGCTTCTCATAAAACTTTTAATCCTTTCACACTATTAGTATTGCCTGGCCTTAGTCCCCACCGAGTTATATAAAAGTTACTGAAGCCTTTGAAAATTAATATAAATGCTGTAAAAAGATAGAAAAAACATGCATTTCAAGAATTTATTTTTGAAAATATTAAGCAGCAAAATAAAGAAAAAGAATCAATTTCAAAACAAAACGAATGATTCAAAACCAATAACGATAAACAAATGAATTGAAAAAAACGCCGAATATGTCCATCTTTACCTCTGCAAGGGAGCATGTGTTATTTGAAGTTTCAAAATGGACAGCATTGCAAGTATCCTTCATCATTCTACATGCTCCTGCGCACTGTATAATACCTGGCTCTTTAATCTTCATAAACAATAAACATTTATATCTTCCAATTTTTCAGACAAATTCACTGTGCTTCAAATCTACAAGTTTGTTTCTAGCCTTCCTTTTGAAACATTTGAAAGCTGCAATTCAAAAGTTAAAGACGACCCAAAGTAATTTCATAAGTGTGCAAATATTTCTGAAAATGGACATGAACATTAGTTTTACGTTCATTTAAAACCTTCTTATCATTTATTATCAGTACTAGCCATTTCATTAATGTTCAATTTTTCCTGTTTGTTCACGGATTGGTACCATGTTGGTTTGGAGATTCTATTCATTTTCTTGAACATACTAAAAATGAAAAAATAACATTTTTGGCCTTAATTAAAAAGCTACATAAAATCAATAACTATCTAGGGATTGGTTTATTTTAAGATATCGACAGCTCAATAAAGATTGGATAATGTGCATATGTAGGCTTAAAACTCATTCGTAGCACACAGCTTTGGGCATAATTTGGATAGAGAAAGCAATGATTATAAGGTATTTTCCTAAAGCTGACTTCCCAAGAGACAAAGTTACAAGTGGCAACTTCCCAAAAGTTAGGTTAAGCCCTCTGAGGAGCCATAGGCTTGCATGGGGGGGGGGGAGGGAGCAAACATGATAATGGTTCAAACCCTGTGGCTAGGACAGTCTTGGGAAGTCGCCTTTGCGAAAGTAACTAACAGATTAACTACATTTCCTACACAAGATATGTTTGATAGTTCAAATGTCCCTTATAAAAGTCCCAACAACAAAAGCATACCTGCTTCCTAAAGTTAGGGTGAAGAATGAAAGCAACAGTAAATTTCGCAGACAAGCCATTGCCAAGCGGTTGAAAATACAACTTCAAAAAATAAAAATCGGGTTTTTTCATTAATTTTATGATTTTTTTGAAGTTTGCATTTTTGTCCTTCTTATAGAAAATCAGTTAAACTTTTAAAAAATCTTAGGATTGAAAACACTTTCAAAGCATTAAGTTTTTACTTTTAATATTTTAATCCAATTATTTTTCATTTAGTAATAATTTATGAGTATGTTTTTTTAAATATTAATCCTAGTATCATAATTAAATTTAACCACCAAAAATCTTTTACTACCAACAGGCTTGGAGGGGGGAGGGGACATCGACACCTCCCCCCCGCTACAACCTGTTTTGCTCTAGCAATTTCATTTTTAAAACTATCATCTTAAGGCGTAGTAATATGGAGTATCTACTGCAAAAACATAAAAAAAATGCATAGGGTAGGGTCTCAGAATATATATATATATATATTTTGAGGGTAGGGTCTCAGAAAGATTAGAGGCCAGTCGGTATGAAAATAAATCTAAAATATAATATACAGTTCTATAAATTACATTTTCAACCAACCCTTGAAAAATAGATATAAAAGCTTGTAAAACATTTTATTGTTTGTAAGTAAAAGAGTCCGAATTTTTAAAACCTCCCTATATATAGTATATAATCGTTAAAAGTACGCCAAGGAGCTGGCCTTGGTAAATTGGGCTTTGAATATGCAATGATTGACTTTAACTACAAGGTCTTATTCTATACATAGATTCAGACACCCCCATATCCCGACCCCCTGGTATTGGTAAAAGTCAAAACTTTGAAATTTGCTACCAGAAAAATTGATTAAAATATAATTACCTTTTGACTCCTAGTATGCAAATGCATTAGCTTCAGTGAATATTTACACAGCTTTCTATAATTGGTCAGAAATATACAGGGTTACCCAGTACCCACAAAGGATGAGAATGTTAAGAAAACTTTATCATCTTCAAATATAAAGATGAAAGTTTCATACCTTTAATGTAGTCTTAATGTGGCTTAATTAATAGTATGACAAAAAAAGAAATTAGTTTATATAGTTGAAGGGAATCATGAATAAAAGAAAGAAATTAGTTTATATAGTTGAAGGGAATCATGAATAAAAGAAAGAGGAATCATGAATAAAAGAAATAAATTAGTTTATAGTTGAAGGGAATCATTAATAAAAAAAAGAAATTAGTTTATATATTTGAAGGGAATCATGAATAAAAGAAAGAAATTAGTTTATATAGTTGAAGGTAATCATGAATAAAAGTAAGAAATTAGTTTATAGTTGAAGGGAATCATGAATAAAAAAAGAAATTAGTTTATATAGTTGAAGGGAATCATGAATAAAAGAAATAAATTAGTTTATAGTTGAAGGGAATCATTAATAAAAAAAAGATATTAGTTTATAATTGAAGGGAATCATGAATAAAAGAAAGAAATTAGTTTATAGTTGAAGGGAATCATGAATAAAAAAAAAGAAATTAGTTTATATAGTTGAAGTGAATCATGAATAAAAGAAATGTCTGAGGCTGTTGAAATTTTCTGACTTTTCCTACATACCCAAAGCCCTCCCTCTAGGCCTAAAACCGGGCTTTAATACTAACTGCCTGAGTCTTCAGGCATACTGCCTGAATGATTGCTTTTGCCTGTAACAAACTAAATCTTTGTTTTGACCCACTTTCACTTGTCAGATTTTGATAAAATTTAGCTTTTTGGAAAGCCTTTGACATAAGGAAACGGATTGCATAAGTTTAAAAAAAAAAAATTGCAAATTATTTGCAAAAAACCTGTCAAAGGAAATTTGCACATTTTTAGTTTTCTTGATTAAAAATTAGGTTATTTAAAATTTTTCAAAATTTTTTGCATATTTAAAATGGCATGGTTAAGGGCTTTTCAAAAATGTATAATTTTTCATTTTTTGGACAAATTTTTTTTTGCAAACATTTTTACAATTTAACTGGATTTTGCGATAAAAATTCAAGTTTTGCAAATTTGAATTTTTTTTTGCAGATTCTAAAAGTAGGGCACAAGAGTTTTCCAATGATGTATCATTTGTCATATTTGGACATCAAACATGGGATTTAGAGGGGGGGTGGGTCAAATTGACCCTCCCCCCCAGCATATTCTGGTTTTCAAGTACCCCAGCAGAGATAGGGTTAAAGGAAAATGTTCAATAGAGGAGAATCGTACATTGGAAGAGAATTGTACATTAGTGGAGAATCTACATTAGAGGAGATTTCACATTAGAGTGTTTTGCAAATAAGAGGAGAATTGCACATTAGAGGAGAATTATACGTTAGAATAGAATTGTGCATCAGAGGAGAATTGTACTTTAGAGGAGAATTTTACTTTAGAGGAGAATTGTACTTTAGAGGAGAATTGTACATTGGAGGGGAATTGTACATTAATGGAGAATCATTCATAAGAGAAGATTTGTACATTAGAGGAGAATCGTACATGAGAAGAGAATCGTTGATTATAGAAGAATCGTGAAAAGGAGAATAATCGTACATGAGAAGATAATTGTGAATTTGAGGAGAATCGCACTTTAGAGGAGAATCGTACATAAGAAGATAATTTTCAATTAAATGAGAATCATAAACTAGAGGAGAATCGTAGATAAGAGGAGAAATATATATCAGAGGAGAATCGTACATTAGAGGCAATTTTTACATTATAGGACATTCATATATTAGAGGAGAATCGTTCATTAAAGAAGAATCCTACATTAGAGAAGAATCTTCCATTTAAGGAAAATCATACATTAGAGGAAAATTTTACATCATAGAAGAATCATATATTAGAGGAGAATCGTACATTAGAGGAGAATCGCACATTAGAGGAGAATCATACATTAGAGGAAAATTTTACATCATAGAAGAATCATATATTAGAGGAGAATCGTACATTTCGAGAATCATACATTAGAGGAGAATCTTGCATTACAGATCATCATACATTAGAGGAGAATCGTTCATGAGAAGACAAATGTAAATGGTTAATTTTTTTGGTTTTTTCCATATTTTTTTTAATTCGATTTTTTAAAACTTCACAAGGAAAACGTCAGGCAATTCAGCTAGTTTTTTTTATAATACAGAATACTACCATAACACTCAAGTGCTTCCGTACATGTTTGAAATATTTTCAAATATTTAAAGAAAATAGGCAATAGATATTTTATGTTTAACTGTTTAAAACCAAGATTATATTCTAGGATTAAAGGGACTGTAAACGTAATTACAATTGACCCTCCCCATCAAAAGAGTCATATGTCCAATTCACAATAGTACCTTTTAAAACTTCCTCTGTTAAAGTTTGAATTGAATATATGTTTCTTGTATTTTGTTTCGTTTAAATTTTCTATAAGAAATAAAAAAATCTGAAGTGAAATAGCCTCAGAATATATATACTATAGATTAACAGATGGCAGCATTTGGTTTGGGAGGTTTCACGAAATATCCTGTATTGGTAGGATATTGTGAACATGCATTGGTTTGTTATTGTGTACATGTAGTACACCGGGATTTGGGGGATTTGTTTTGATTTGATATATTCTGCACTACAGGGTGTCCCATAGGAATTCAGCGACGAATTGTATATCGTATTTGCTATGAATTAGCATTGTAATACCTAATTTCAAAAGCCATAATATTATTATGTCTGCTAGAGTTTTTTTTTTGAAAAGGGTAAAAGACTGTAAAGATGTGTCTATAATGTCTTTGCAAGATGAACATTGAAGACGGACAAGTTTACTCTGTTTGTATACTGAAATTTTCTTGTTTTACAAAGTACAACCGTATGCAGTCAAAACATAAACAAACAAAATGTGAACATAGCAGACGAAATTCTTACAGATTACAGCTTTCTCAGTTGGTATCACTATAATAAATCAAAGAATTATTTAAAAAGACGATATCGAATTCGTCACTGAATTCCCATGTTTTTTGGGACACCCTGTATCTAAACGTTTTATTCAAATCAAACCCAATTGAAACTTTTGCTCTTTTCCACCTAATTATCTAACTCCATAATTATTCCAAATTATAACATTTTATAAAAATCTATTTTGAAAATTTAATTAAAGTAATTTTTCTTATTGTTTTTCGGAGAACAATTTGTTCATTTCATCAAACTCCTTCATTACCTCCAAATGAGTTATTTAATAAGAATGTATTTCTTTAAATTGATATAATTATTCTTTTTCTTTTTTTAGAATTTTTTAAAATTAGATGTCAATTAATTTATTTGTAAGTGAAATGTCTCAGTACGTCCTGAGTCCATAACAAGCACTTGGAGGGTTGGCAGCCTTCTGTAAGTTAATGAGAAGATATTTAAAAAAAGAAATAAATCCATGGTTTCCGTGGGACCTATAAGAAGAACAGTGTCAAGTCATTATATCCTATGTCTATTTTTCCTACAGTGTTAAAGGTGATAATATCAATACAATGAAGACAACTTGTTTATTTGAGTTTTAATTGTTATCAACCTTTTTTCGAATTACAAGTAAATAAAGAGAAGCTTTTCTAATTGGCATCTTCTCTTTTGTTTATCCATGCTGTTCAAAAGCTTGATAAAAGTAAAAATTTAAATCAAAAGTCGTCTTTATTGTATTGATATAATCGCCTACCACCGCATAACAAAAATCAAAATATACTTTTTTCAGAAAGTATAATGATGGTTTCAAAGTTGAACATCTTCAATTTGTCTTTTTTCATGCTAGGAAAAATTTGTTTGGAATTATAGAAATGTTTAAAAAAAACCCTTAGGCACCCTTGCTCTAATCGGAACCATAGGAGGGTGTCTGAAAAAACTGGAAAAATATCATTTGATTGAGACCTTAAAAATAGTGTACAGAAATAACAAACGGCAACCTAATTTTAGCAATATTTTTTATGACCAAATAATCACAAAAGAGGCAAATTCCTACCATTTCCCAAGTGCGGTCTGCCATTTTTTCCTTTCATACAACCATAAAAATGTCTAATCCTAAACCAAATCATTCATATCTCACGTAATTATATTATAACAAAAATATGGCAGAAAACATTTTGAAAATGGTAGGACTTCAGCTCTTTTTTTTATTATTATTTCAAGAAAAAATATTATTAAAATTAGCTTGTCCATGATCAATTCAAGAAACATTTTCTAAAGTCAAAGACGACCTTATTCGAGAAATGTCTGAGTCAGAGCCTGAAATTTGTTAGAAATTATGAATGTTAACTTTACATTTTGGATTTGTTTTTTCAAGCTAAAACTATCATATTTGCAGCAAATTATATTAACGAATTTAGGTTTATAAATCCTTTACTCTTAATCTTAACAAACTATAACTTTAGAAAACAAACTATTTTTTTCATCCTACAAGGGTTTTGTTTGATTCAATAAATTTGAAATTACTCTAATAGTCATTTAATATGGAGGGATTCTCCAAACTTATAAGTGCAAAAATATCACAAGGTTTTGTTTTTTCCTAAGAACGAAAATTTGTTATAGATATTTTACAAAATCTATATTTTGTAACCAAACAAATAAACTTTAGGTATTTTAGCTAAAAATTGTGCTTTTGGACTTAAAGCTGGCGAAACCTTCACCAAATCAATTGGTAAATATTCTAGAAACTTTAAATTATTCACTACTTCTTCACAATAAACTAAGGTAGAGGGAAGATCAAATAGGCTATGTGATCGGCTGGGTAAAGTATAAATCTGGTGACGTCTTCAAAGTCGACAGGATAAAGTCAGGCTGCAGTACATGCCACGCGCCACTAGGGCTTGTACAAGAAGTCGGTCCGCTTCGAATTCAAATTGACCCTAGTTCACATTGACTTTACAAATTAACGTTATTTGATAACAGTCCGTTTAATATCCCGCTTTTGGAGGAATCATGGCTAGCTCTGTAATGTTGGACAAATGCATTAAAATATTTCACATTTAGGGTTTAAGACTTTTTACAGTGCCTCAACTACTGAAACCTTGAATCTACAAGATTGTTCTTTCCGATGTCTGGCTCTACCACACTGTGACATCTTTGAATATCAGGTAAAAATGTATCTCATTTCACTGTGTTCGGTGTACATTTGTACAATTGTACAGCATACGGTGTACAGTATACTGTGTACAGTGTACGGTGTAAAGTGTACGGTGTACAATGTACGATGTACAATTGTACACCGTACATCGGTTTTTATTTGGTCAACAATTTTGATACTGTTTATATCAATCTTCCTTTCAGCCTGCTGCAGTTGTATTATAAGACAATATTTATAAAATTCCGAAGATTATTAGGATCCTTTCCGCTCCCGGCTTCCCTGAGATAGTATTGAAAAGGGTAACAATTCAATCATAAGCATAATTTTTTTCTTTTTTAAACCGATTGGGGTTTTAGGTTTTCAAAAAACTCGACAAACATCTCTTAAAGTTATATTTTATTTCGCAATACAAGACATTGACACTAGCATGAAAGATGTAAGCCTGACGATTTTTTGTAATGGTTCGTAAAAGAACAATCGGTATGGCTTCATTCAGGCCTATATCTTCTGTGGCTCCCAGAGAAACAACCAAACATAAACTACAAAGATGTTTGAAGAATTTGAAAAACCTGAAATATTTGAAAAAAACAGATGTACAATTATGCCCAACTCTACTTATACTATAATTGTATAGGATGGGCAGTGCACACTGGGTCAAACAATTGGTAAGAAATTTCCATCAGAAAGGAAAAAACAAATTCTAAGTTTTTTTCAGTGTAATTTTAAATTAGACTTTCAAATAAGGTCTCTGTGATTCAGAATAGACATGTTTCATATTTGCTTAAAAGTTTGTCAAAATTAAAACTTAATGTTTAAACAAAACAATTTGTTGGAATATAAAATTATAATGCTTGAAACCCGCAGGATAATTTAATAAACATAATGTTTCCCTTGTTTATAATAAATATGCAAGTTTTATAACTGAACCCTTTTTCCAGGTCTACGTAACAGCATAGGTTACAATTCTACTGAACAATGGGAGAGGAAAAAACCAACTGGTAAATTTTAAAAATATGTTTTGAATAAAATCATTAATACAATATGATGATTCTATGAATAGAATTTTTATGTAACATATACTTGTAAATATGAAAATATTGAAACACATTTTCATTTATTAATTTAGTTTTCAATTGAAAATTTAAACTTGTCGTGAACTGAACCTTTCTTTCGTCAAGAATAGATTAAAGAGGACTACGGTCTTGACATTTAATATGAGCAGTCGGACAATGAATTCAAGATATATATTCCCCTAAATTTAGAAACAATACATTAATGCATAAAACAAATAGACGATAAATAGGGATGTCAATCGCGGTTCGAACGCCTTATTTTAACACAATTATTTTGAAAATTAACAGAAAATTAACAGAAAATTCAGGAGTTTGCGCAATATAATGTAGGCAACCTTTAAGGAAATAAAATTTTTGAGGCCTATTGTGGCCGAATTTAAAGAATTTGAACCGTGCCTAGAGACGTGGTTCAAAGATAAGACCCGGTTCAAACATGGTCGGTTCACCTTGAAATTTTATTCGGTGTTTCGAGATTTGTGCCAGTGCACAGTTTAAACCGGCAGTACACATTAATCAAATTCGGCCTCTGAAGTCATAAGTTTTGAACCTCGGAATAAAGCATTGATCTTTATCTTATGCAGCAATATACTGATTAATTTGATTCCCCTCAGAGTCAAATAATCTTTCAATTTTCAATCGTTGTTTGAATATTTAAAATTTCAACCAGAGTAAGACCATCCAATCTTAACTTAGTTCTTTATAGTTTAAAGGAATTGAATCTTTGCCACAAACTATAACTTTCTAATCCCTTTATCTTTTCAACCAAATGTAGACTGTAGATATTTCAAACTATGAATTCTGTTGGATCACCATCAGGTTGCATAGTTATAGAGATTAGAAAATTTGAGTTTGTGGCAAAGGCTCAATTCCTTTAAAATGTTTTCTTTATTTACAGGGTGTATCCCAAAACATTGTTTCGAACCTGGATATACTACACTAGGAATGGATCAAGATTTTAAATTAATAATTTTTGCAGAAAATTGGACATTTTAAATTTTTAACCAAGCTGCATTGGAATCAAATATTTAAACAAAAAATACACAGTGTGATTAAAAAACAGGGATTAGCGTTATAAGTCCCAATATTCTTTAAATGGCTTGAAAAAGTGCTGATGTAGTTTATAATATATATATATATATAGGATATATATATATAAAGTTTGAAGGGTTCGTTAAATTACCTGTTTGTCGTTCGATTCTGTCGATTCTGTTCAACTATGGTTTTTAAATGATAAAAAAAGCTGAAAACCTCTACTCCCTGTTTAAGGGGTCACCCTGTAACAGCATAAACTTAATCCTCTGACTGTAGCTGGAGCTGAATTATTTGCTGGTAGTATTTCTTTTTTCTTTCAGATAATGATACAGGGTGGTCCATAAAACATAGAAATTAATTTTTATTTTATTTTTTACAAGGCACTAATTCATAAACATACTTTCTATATGGTACATTCCCACACCGAAAATTAAGTGCTTCTTTCGGAATTATCTTGATTTGGACCATTTAAGAATGACATTGATTTTGAAAAATTGATACCCTCTTTCAAGGTTATAATGCAAGGAAAGTTAATTACAGTTGCGTAAATATTGAAACCAGTTCTCTCAGGGCGGAATTTGTAAAAAAGAATAGATGCATCAGTGTTCGTTTTGTATTCGAATAGGTTAAGAGCATTAAATTTTGATAATTTTGAAAATTCACATAATAGTTTCCTGTGACAAGAATATTTAATTGATTTTTATGTGAAAGATGGATCCCATCATTCCCATGTCAGGCTTCGACATCCGTCTTGTGTTTACATTACCGCCCAGGGACAATACACTGCGTACACCTATGAAATAACTTTCCTTGCATTTTAACATTCCATCTTTGTCATTTAACAATTAATCAGAAATCAAAGACGATTTTCAAGAAGTCTCTTAATTTCTGTGTTTATTGGGATTAATGACACCCTGTATAATACACATGCATTTACAGGGTTTCCCACCAAATAGGACAGTTGGTGAATAGTTTAGAATATCTTATTATTTGTTAAGTTGTTTGATACCAAAGACAAAAAAATAAGAATATAATATGGGAGTTATGTTATAGTAAAATTGATTTCCAAGTAAAACATATTTAGACAAAAGATTTGTTTAACGAAATAAACTGCAAAATATCTAATACAGCATATAGAAGACGACATTCATAATTATTTATTAAATTTCATGTTTCGTGGGACACCTTGTAAATGAAACGTAAGTTTCATTTAACTTCATTTAAAATGGTTGCTATGCATGATTGCTTTGAAAACAATATGAAGGAACATAAATTGGAGGGGAATACGTACGTTTTTTGCCTCAAGATAATTTTATAAACTTAATGTTAAAATTTTAAATAAAATCTAACCCAATTATATTTGATATAAAGGGACTGTACACTTTTTTTCAAATAACTCTCTATTGGTAAACTACAATGTCAGACAACAAAGTTTTCCTTGTCGTTTAAACTTTTTATTTTTTATATTAAAGCGACATGATTCCGAATTGAAAGAATTTGAGACGCGGCTAAAATTTGAGACGTGGTTCAAATATAAATGGTTCCACTTGTATTCAATGTTTCAAGATTTAAGCCGGCGCTCAATTGAATCCGGTTTTTGGCGGATTTGAGACGCGGCTCAAATTCATTAAATTCGGACTATGGGTATCTTTGCAGTGAGGATAGTAAAAACTTTAAAAATGGTATGAAACGCTTTACATTTCAAGTGACTCTCGATCCATGCAAAGATGGCAATGCCCGATTTACAACGGTACCCTTGAAACTGCTGTTTTTCTGCAGGACTCAACAAGTGTTTCTGTGAATTTCTCCTTTACTTCTTTATACTGTTTAGAAACTACAACGGAATCTGCTTATACTGTTTAGAAACTGAAACGGAATCTGCTTATACTGTTTAGAAACTGATACGGAATCTGCTTATACTGTTTAGAAACTACAACGGAATCTGCTTATACTGTTTAGAAACTGATACGGAATCTGCTTATACTGTTTAGAAACTGAAACGAAATCTGCTATACGGAATCTGCTTATACTGTTTAGAAACTACAACGGAATCTGCTTATACTGTTTAGAAACTGATACGGAATCTGCTTATACTGTTTAGAAACTGAAACGAAATCTGCTTATATACTGTTCAGAAACTGAAACGAAATCTGCTTATACTGTTTAGAAACTGAAACGGAATCTGTTTATACTGTTTAGAAACTGAAACGAAATCTGCTTATATACTGTTCAGAAACTGAAACGAAATCTGCTTCTATAACTGTTTAGAAATTGAAACGGAATCTGCTCATGAATGTGGTTGTAACTGTGTCTCTACTAGGGGCTGTAAAGTCTTTGAATGGAGTCCATCTGTAAAGAATTGTTACATGAAGACCAGAAGATTTTTAATTTCTTATTATCATTGTAGTTATCCAAATTATATGATTACCGGGTTTTCTAACTGTTCTTAAACACAGTTGATATTTCCTGAAGTACAGTAAAACCTATTTTGGCTTGGAAGCCTTGGCACTTTTACTTCACAGGAAATACAAAGTGTCCAAATAAACATTAGCATTGAGTGACCCGATCGTTTTTGAAAATAATGTAATCTTTAGCATATTATAATCATGCTAGAATTTAGAATTTGTTTTTAAATGTTTTGCTTACATATTCTTGTTCTTACATAAACTTGCAGAAACATTACACAAATTCTAAAATTATCTCTAGCAGAGTCTAAATCTAAAGAATAGAAAGTTACGACTTAATTGTTAAGTTTAAGCTTAAATTCCACTTCTGACTTACTGTAAACCAGAAATTTAAGCGTATAGCTTTGATATTAAACTCGCCGATTTTGGCGAGTTAAAATTTAAACCTGCGAATACTCACATTAAAGTTTTCGACATTTAAAACATGAAAATGATTTGATTGGACGATTTAAGTTCTTTAAATTAATATATCTTTCCCCATTCTCAGGATTAAATAAATTAATATAGATAAATTCGAAATATATTTTGTTTGCGCTGCTGTTATGTCAGTTGTGTAAACAAATTGTAATTACAAAACAGAACAGATGATGTTGCTGATTGGTTGAACCCTTTAGGGTTAAATCGAGAAAGATTAATGTTTCAGTCGCAACTCATTATTTTTCTGAACTTTTGAGCTTTAACTCAAATTTCACGCATCATTTAGTTTTAGACTTAGAAGTAATTATAATTTGCAATTTTGAAAAAAGGTATTAGGATGCTCAATCTTAAAAAAAGACGATTTTGAATGGGTCACTAGATTTCACTGTTTATTTGGACACCCTTTTTTTGTAAACTATAAGAACCAAAGTTCTAATCTGGGTTTGAATTTTCTAAAACTTTTGGCTTTAAACATTTTGGATTGAACAGGTCAAAAAGTAACAGTTGCTATATCATATTATGTTAGGTGTAAAAAACCAAATTTTTATTTTGAATTGTGATTTTCGATTTTCTCATTTCTTGGTTTGAATATTTTAACATTTTGGCTTTAAATATGTTGTACAATTAAACATTTATAGAGGACGTGAGTCAGACTCTAATAAAAACGCATAAATAACTTCCAGTATATATATTTCTTATAAATTATTACTAGAGGGTTCAGAACTAGAGTCAATATCGATATCACACGTGTAGATGATTTATCAGTACTATGCTCCGTATCCGTTCTATCTCATTCTGTTGAATCTTGTGGCACTTGTTTAACGCGGCCAGGAGTCGTCTTCCACAAATTGAACATTTCTTTATGCACCATTTGCAGGCAAACTAAATAACAGTGTTAATTTAAAATTAAGTAGTTTCTAAATAAGTTTTTTTTTCTATGACATTTCTTTGATTTCTTCAACTTCTAAAATAGTGGTTTGAATTTTGATTTAAATTTTAAATTGTGATGTAGTGGTTTGAATTTTGATTTTAATTTTAAATTGTGACATAGTGGTTTGAATTTTGATTTAAATTTCAAATTGTGATATAAGTGGTGTAAAATTGATTTAAATTTAAATTTGTGACGTTATGCTTTGAATTTTGATTTACATTTTAAATTGTGACATAGTGGTTTGAATTTTGATTTAAATTTTAGATTGTGATATAGTGGTTTGAATTTTGATTTAAATTTTAAATTGTGACATAGTGGTTTGAATTTTGATTCAAATTTTAGATTGTGATATAGTGGTTTGAATTTTGTTAGTCTGTTGGCTTAAAACATTTTGGATATTTACACCAGCAAAATTTTAGCATTCTTTGTAAATGAAAAACAAACAGTTGATCTCATGTTATGTACAGGGATAACCAGAAAACTCTATAATAACTATTTACTATAACTATTTACTATATAGACACTTACTACATCACAGGTTAAGTGAAATGGGTCTGTTTACACTGCACAATTGATGTGTCCTATGCTCATTGGACTATTTAAAGTTAAAACTTGAATCTAAAAGTTGTTTTTCTATTTCAGAGTTTGTAGTTTATCTCATATTTATTACATAAGTAGTTTGTAAGAAAGTTTTTCCTTGTAATTGTTTTATTATGCACCGTAATGTAACAAGTATGTAATTTATTTTAAAGAACAAATTAAATTTAAATATATTCACTTCATTTTCTCATTTTGTATTTAACAGTGGTATTCTTATTATCCTTACTATACGAGGGAGGGAGTCCAGAGTTCCTCAAATAGTAATCACCGCCACCGAAATCTGTTTTGCGGCAAGCGCGCTCCTCAATTGGTAATCTTCAACACCTCAAATAGTAATCACCCCAAAAAAGCATAAAATTAAATCGTTTATTTCTTAGAAATAAGACCATATTGACCTCTTTTAATGGCCCTATGGTGTACAATATTGTTAAAGCTTTCTTTATTGCTCCTTAGTTTCGAAAATAAATCAATAAATATGCCAAACTAAGTGCTAGAAATAGATTACGTTTTTTAGTTTCAAGTTTCGCTTTAAGAATGTTTGCGGCATTTTCCTCTGAATGTTGTTTTTTTTATAGAGAGGAAACTTTAACCCATTATTAGTGGACTAAATACTTAATTTTCAGTAGTTGGTGTGATGAGACTAATTTTTCAAAATCTTATGTTCTTTCTATGCATATAATTAGTTTTGTTGTAGATGTTGAACTCGAGTAGGCGAATACAAAAATCTAAACACTGTAAAGGTTTTTTGAAAATATCTTTTAAATGGAGATTGATATTACCTAGGGCGCGATGAGATAATTTTTAGTAAATTTTAAGTCCTTTCTATGCATATAATTAGTTTTGTTGTAGATGTTGAACTCGAGTTGGCGAATACAAAAATCTAAACACTGTAAAGGTTTTTTGAAAATATCTTTTAAATGGAGATTGATATTACCTAGGGCGCGATGAGATAATTTTTAGTAAACAGGCAGCCCGACCTTTTTTGTATCTTGACGCTAATCATGAAATGCAGTCATTAAAGTGGCGAATTGGATCTAAGATTCGGCTAAAATGAACTGTGCATTAATTCTCAGTTTTTGTTGACCAAACAAATCTGAAAATAATTTGAAAATTTAGTTTAAGTCAATACATATGCCATAAAACCCCGATAGATGTCGAAAATTGTGTTAAAAGTGCATTAAATTCAAATCACAGAAAACAAAATTTTACGGTGATTACTAATTGAGGAGCGCGCTTGCCGCAAAACAGATTTGGGTGGCGGTGATCACTATTTGAGGAACTCTGGACTCCCTCCCTCACTATACCGAAGTGCCTGACGTTGCTTGTGAAATAAAAAAATAGATTTTGATAGAAAAATAAATAGATTTTGTTTGCCAATGTTTACCCCAGGGTATTCATGGGCATTATTGCTAACATATATTCAGACAACATTTTATTGCAGATTTGATTTTTATTCAGCTTATACGCAAGCATGGTGTAGTAATAGTTCGCCCAATATAATGTTTCACCCAAAAACGTTTCACCCAATAATGTTTCATCCAATGACGTTTCACCCAATAACGTTTCACCCAATAACGTTTCACCCAACTCAAGTTTCGCCCAAACTACACAAACTTGAATTACACCCCCTCCCCCCCAAAAAAAATCTGTAGCAAATTTTATTTTGAAGTTATAAAAGTTATATGTTAGAATTTGTTATAGTTGTTTCCTAATTAAAATTTGAGGCAAATCGGTCCATGAGTTTATGAGTTATGATCGGAAATCGGACAAGAAAGTTCTGTGCAATGCGCATTAGACAAATAAAAAAAATTGGGTGAAACGCTTAAGTAAGTGTAGATTTGGGCAAAATGTGAGTACAGGGTGAAACGTAGTTTGGGGGAAACATAGTATTGGGTGAAACGTGACTTGATTCGGTGTAACATAATTTTGGTGAAACACCTAGGGTGAAACATGCTTGGTCGATCGAACTGCCATAGGGAGGGAACCCTCAGACACCATGAGCCTTCGCCATGCAGACACAAGCCTCCCAGATTTGCTAGGGAGATGGAGCCTCCGCCATGCAGTAAGAACCTCCGTTATGCAGTAAACAAGCCTTGGCTATACAGGTTTTTAGGGACACCAGTAGGGTTGTTAAACGTTTTAAAAAACTAACGAAATAATGATAATTTTTCGTTTATTTATTTTTTCTGTAAACCGATCGTTTTGTTTTGGAAAATAACGATCGTTTTTACAAACACCCACTTTTTTTAACTTTCAAAAAACGAAAAACGATATTTTTTTAAAAACTATAATTTTTAAAAGCAATCGTTTTCTTTCGTTCTTCGTCGCTTTCAAAACAACCGTTTTTCAAAAAAAGTGGAAACGATCCATCCTTAGACACCAGGGACAAAACCTTTAAAGATTAAAGAATCGTAAAAGAAAGGATTAAAAAACCCAGTGGTAAAAAGGAAAAAAAACATATTCTGAAATAGATTGTTTATTAGATGTAAGAATACATTATTAACTCTTTTTGTTTTTCCGATCATTTATATAGATACATAAGCTATTTTCTTGTTTTCAAACAATGCATATAATTTTCATCTTCTGCAATATTTTCATTTCTCCATCAGTGAGTTCCCTGCTAAAAATATCCGAATCTAAAGTTGTGAAGGAAACTCTCAAAATCACTTTTTAATTTAATTAAAATCACGTTGCTAATGATTCAAAAGAATAAGGTCAAAGTAACACTAAGATTTCTCTGCTTGTATGGAAGAAACGTCAAAACAGCTGCATTTATCGGGTCCACATTTGGGGGACCTCACATGACCCCAGGACAGGATTATAAATGATCAAAATAAAAAATAGCATACAACAAAATTCAATTTTTATTAAATTTTGTAAAATCCATGACATTTTTTTTATAAAATCCGTCAACTTTTTTTATATTGTTTTACAATGTATACAAAGAGAAAATGCACACAATTGAAATAAAAGATGGGCGCGAAGAGCCCACGTTGTTATCTACAGGGTGTCCCAAAAAACATGGGAATTCAGTGACGAATTCGATATCGTCTTTTGAAAAGGGTAACAATTCAATCATAAGCATAATTTTTTTCTTTTTTAAACCGATTGGGGTTTTAGGTTTTCAAAAAACTCGACAAACATCTCTTAAAGTTATATTTTATTTCGCAATACAAGACATTGACACTAGCATGAAAGATGTAAGCCTGACGATTTTTTGTAATGGTTCGTAAAAGAACAATCGGTATGGCTTCATTCAGGCCTATATCTTCTGTGGCTCCCAGAGAAACAACCAAACATAAACTACAAAGATGTTTGAAGAATTTGAAAAACCTGAAATATTTGAAAAAAACAGATGTACAATTATGCCCAACTCTACTTATACTATAATTGTATAGGATGGGCAGTGCACACTGGGTCAAACAATTGGTAAGAAATTTCCATCAGAAAGGAAAAAACAAATTCTAAGTTTTTTTCAGTGTAATTTTAAATTAGACTTTCAAATAAGGTCTCTGTGATTCAGAATAGACATGTTTCATATTTGCTTAAAAGTTTGTCAAAATTAAAACTTAATGTTTAAACAAAACAATTTGTTGGAATATAAAATTATAATGCTTGAAACCCGCAGGATAATTTAATAAACATAATGTTTCCCTTGTTTATAATAAATATGCAAGTTTTATAACTGAACCCTTTTTCCAGGTCTACGTAACAGCATAGGTTACAATTCTACTGAACAATGGGAGAGGAAAAAACCAACTGGTAAATTTTAAAAATATGTTTTGAATAAAATCATTAATACAATATGATGATTCTATGAATAGAATTTTTATGTAACATATACTTGTAAATATGAAAATATTGAAACACATTTTCATTTATTAATTTAGTTTTCAATTGAAAATTTAAACTTGTCGTGAACTGAACCTTTCTTTCGTCAAGAATAGATTAAAGAGGACTACGGTCTTGACATTTAATATGAGCAGTCGGACAATGAATTCAAGATATATATTCCCCTAAATTTAGAAACAATACATTAATGCATAAAACAAATAGACGATAAATAGGGATGTCAATCGCGGTTCGAACGCCTTATTTTAACACAATTATTTTGAAAATTAACAGAAAATTAACAGAAAATTCAGGAGTTTGCGCAATATAATGTAGGCAACCTTTAAGGAAATAAAATTTTTGAGGCCTATTGTGGCCGAATTTAAAGAATTTGAACCGTGCCTAGAGACGTGGTTCAAAGATAAGACCCGGTTCAAACATGGTCGGTTCACCTTGAAATTTTATTCGGTGTTTCGAGATTTGTGCCAGTGCACAGTTTAAACCGGCAGTACACATTAATCAAATTCGGCCTCTGAAGTCATAAGTTTTGAACCTCGGAATAAAGCATTGATCTTTATCTTATGCAGCAATATACTGATTAATTTGATTCCCCTCAGAGTCAAATAATCTTTCAATTTTCAATCGTTGTTTGAATATTTAAAATTTCAACCAGAGTAAGACCATCCAATCTTAACTTAGTTCTTTATAGTTTAAAGGAATTGAATCTTTGCCACAAACTATAACTTTCTAATCCCTTTATCTTTTCAACCAAATGTAGACTGTAGATATTTCAAACTATGAATTCTGTTGGATCACCATCAGGTTGCATAGTTATAGAGATTAGAAAATTTGAGTTTGTGGCAAAGGCTCAATTCCTTTAAAATGTTTTCTTTATTTACAGGGTGTATCCCAAAACATTGTTTCGAACCTGGATATACTACACTAGGAATGGATCAAGATTTTAAATTAATAATTTTTGCAGAAAATTGGACATTTTAAATTTTTAACCAAGCTGCATTGGAATCAAATATTTAAACAAAAAATACACAGTGTGATTAAAAAACAGGGATTAGCGTTATAAGTCCCAATATTCTTTAAATGGCTTGAAAAAGTGCTGATGTAGTTTATAATATATATATATATATAGGAATAAGTTATTACATTTAAAGCGATATTGTTTTGAGTTCCATGATATCAGAGGAACTCATAAAACTGTGGAATAGGAAAAGTCCAGTGAGCATGAAAAACAGCAATTTTGCAATTGTGCAGTGTAAGCTGATGTTCAACCTACTGGTAAACCAATTTGCTTTATAACAACTTATATGTAACGTTGTAATCTCTGTTTGTTTGCTTATTTGTCCGATCATAACTCAGGAACCCATGGACCGATTTGCCTCAAATTTTGATTGGGAACCTTGAGAGAACTTTAGGAATGTTCTTAGTTTTCCGGTAAAAATCGTCTAAGTGCGAGTAAACGGCGGTAGTAACTATGAGTAAGCTACTGGGAAAGTGCCGAACACCCCAACCTAGTATAACAACATAAAAGTTTTCATAATTGTCGTCTTTCTTTTCTAAATTTTTTGGGTCTAACTGTAGAAGAGAAGAAAGGTTTCACATTGAAAACAATATTATAATAACTTTATATTGTTAGGATGAAGCAATTTACCTCCTTTTCCTTCCAAACTGAATGCTTTTACTTTGATTCCTTAAAAATAAAAAATATGTTTTTAAACTAAATTTTTTTTATGCGTGATGAGTTTATTTTTATACCTTTGCCGTCTTCTTTCAACATACATATGCAGTGCATATTCGACATATCTTGTCCCTTGTTAAGCAGTCTTTAAATCAAGAATAGTCGTTGAAAATAATAGATTTTCAAAATGAAAATGTAAAAACTATTTTTATGTTTTCTATTAAATTTGAAAGATAATTTTAGATCCGTAGTTCAATTATGAAAAAACAGGGGGTTTTTAGAATTAAGTTTAATCTTTTACATCTATATAATAAAGCTCTTCCCTCATATATATATTTTTGACATTTTTGAGGTAACATAGGCCAAAAATATTAGATTCTTTTTTCAAAATTAAATGTTTTTTTAAATCTATTTTTTATTCCACGGGCAACGCTGGGAACTTCAACTAGTTTAGAAACAAAATACTAGAAAGTTCTACAGTTGTCTAACATAAAAAGTTTTGCATTTATTTTTTAAATCTGACATTTTCTTCAACATTCAAGATTCCCTGGAGAGCTCTTTAGTGCATGGAATTGTTTCATTCAGAGTCATCTCCAGATTCTCAAACTGGCAGGTTGACCCATCTAATAATCAATCAATTAATAAATAAATCTGTCAATGATTAATCCTGCAAGTAGTTAAACAATCAATTAAGCAGTTAATCAGTCACTCAATCAATCAAGGGATAAAACAGTGGATTAATCAATGGTTAACCCATTTAGTAATCAACCAATCATTCATCAACGGTTTATCCTAATTCACATAATAATCAATCAAGCAATTATTGAATCACTTGTTCATTCAAAAAATTTTAACCCATCCAAGAGTGGATTAATCAATGTAAAACCAAATTAATAATCAATCGGACAATTATTTAATCAATTATAAAACATATAACAACTAACCAATCAATAAATCATCTAATGGACTGGCAATGAACCAATCAAACAATGAAAAAAATAATCAATTAAGCTTTCAATAAATCAATTTGTATTCCATCTAGTTATTAATCAGTCCATAAATCAATGTTTACTATATCCATTAATTAATCAAAGAATTATCAATTATAATAGTTAATCAATCTAACAATCTAACTAAATTATTCAATCAATAATTAATTCATTGCGAAATTGATTTATCGATGATATTTTTCTTTGCTAGTCAATCAATCAATCAATAGTTAAAATACATTTTGAAACCAATTCATAATAAAACTATCAACAACCCAATCCAAATTATAAATGTAAAAAAAAAATTTACAAACCTTCCGAAAGCTTCCCAGAATACACATTTTTGTCTTTAATCACTGAAATATTTTATGTTAAGAAAAAAGTCTGAAAATGTCTTTATTTAAGGTAAAAACGTCTCACCTTCCTTCTTAGTTATAGTTGTTGTTGTGATGTTAGTCTTGGCTGAAATTAGATTTTGTCAGATCAAATAAAATTTAAGTTTAAAATTCTGGTTCTTACTTTTTTCCATTTTTCCCGTTGAGTTGTCCTGGTCCTTTACAACTGAAACATTTAAATAAAATTAGTTTTTTCATTACTAAGCAAAAAAGAGCAGTAAGCAATTTTGAACAGGATATTTAGTTTGTGTTAAAAATATTTCATGAAAAAATAAAATCGGGTTAACTTACAGATTTAATTTTAATTTTCAAAATTTCTCACAAATATAGTGTGTAAAATTTATTTAAATGTACTGTGCAAAATCTAATGTAAAATACTGTGCAAAATGTAAAATATGTTCACTTTGCGATGTAATGTAAATGTACTGGGCAAGATATAATGTAAATGTACTGTGCAAGATGTAATGTAATTGTACTGTGCAATATGTAATGTAAATGTACTGTGCAAGATGTAATGTAAACGCACTGTGCAAGATATAATGTAAATGTACTGTGCATGATGTAATGTAAATCTTCTGTGCAATATGTAATGTAATGTACTGTGCAAATTATAATGTAATTGTACTGTGCAAGATGTAATGTAATGTACTGTGCAACATATCATGTAAATGTACTGTAAATGTGCTGTGTAAGATGTAATTTATATGTACTTTGCAAGATGTAATGCAATTTACTGTGCAATATTTAATGTAATGTACTGTGCAAGATATCACGTAAATGTACTGTAAATGTACTGTGCAATATGTAATGTAAATGTACTGTGCAAGATGTAATGTAAATGTACTGTGCAAGATATAATGTAAATGTACTGTGCATGATGTAATGTAAATCTTCTGTGCAATATGTAATGTAATGTACTGTGCAAATTATAATGTAAATGTACTGTGCAAGATGTAATGTAATGTACTGTGCAACTAATCATGTAAATGTACTGTAAATGTGCTGTGTAAGATGTAATGTAAATGTACTGTGCAAGATGTAATAAAAATGTTCTGTGCAAGATGTAATTTAAATGTACTATGCAAGATTTAATGTTAATGAACTATGCAAGATGACATGTAAATATATCGTGCAAGATGTAACACAAGGTACTGAGCAAGATGTAATGTAAATGTATTGTGCAAGATGTAAAGTAAATATAATTTACAAGATGTAATGTAATGGGCAAAATGTAATGTAAAAATTTTGTGCGAAATGTAATAGAAATGTTCTGTGCGAAATTTAATGTAAATGCACTGTGTAGGATTTATGTAAATGTACAGAACATGATGAAATGTAAATTTACTGTACAAGAAGTAATGTAAATGTACTGTACTAGAAGTAATGTAAATATACCGCGGAAAATGTGATAAATATAAGTTTATGTATCAATCCTGAGATGAGATTTTAAAAGCTTAAACCCGAGTAAAACCCGGTCTTTGCGTCAGCTTAGACCCAAGTAAAGCTCAAGTTAAGACCCAGAATTTGGATGGCCTTGAGTTTAGTAAAAACCAACCATCTTGGGTTTTTCTCTTTTTAAGGCGTGAGTCTTCAGCAGCTGATGATCGTGAATTTTGTAAAATCTTATATATTTGTACATGTAAAATCTCGGGAATTATTTGTGGTGTCAAATTTTATTAAATATATAAAATTAACATGAAAATAATGTATTTACATAAAGTTTGAATTTTCGAAATTTACATCACATTTACATCTGTCTGCTACAGAGAGAAAGCTTGCTAAACAGTCTCTCATTGGTCGAATCAGAACCAATCCTGACTTGGGTTCTATCTAAACCCGAGTTTGGGTTTTACTTGGGTTTAAGCTTTTAAAATCTCATCCGTGGTGTCAAATTTTATTAATTATATAAAATAAACATACTATGAAAATAACATATCTCCATAAAGTTTGAGTTTTCGAAATTTACATCTCCTTGTTACAGCTGATCTGATGGAATTATGTCTGCTACAGAGAGAAAGTTTGCTAAACAGTCTCTCAATGGTCGAATCAAAACAATCCTGACTTACTTCTATCAAAGCCCGAGTTTGAGTTTTACTCAGGTTTAAGCTTTAAAATTTCATCTCTGGGATAAATGTCCTCCTACCTTCTATAACTTTTACTTCTTCCTCAGTTCCGCCGCCATTGTCTGTAATTTAACAAAATAAAAAGAATAAAATAAAAATAATTAAGTGTTTGCCAAAAACTCTAACTTTCTGTTTTCTTTATCTTTGCGACCTAATGGTGTAAGCCTTTGATATTTCATACTAAGATTAATTGAATTGATAGTTTGAAATGTACCATTGATCTATTGGCAAAGATATAGGGATAAGAAATGGCAAAGACTCAATTTCCTCAAAGAAAATAATTAACCTGAAGGTTTTTCATTCACGACAATCCTTTTTGCAGTTACAGTAATTCCTTATAAAGATATTAAAATATTAATAAAAAATTCAATAAAAAAAAGCAAAGCACACAGGTCAAAAGTAAATGGCTTCGAAAGTAGGGAGTACGAAATTAATGAATTTAAACTGCCTGCTGACAGTTCAAATCTAATTCACTGATCTAATGACTATATTTGTGAAAAGCCCTTGAAAAATGGATGTAGATACATGTGCATCAAACTTTGATAAGTATTTTTTTTTCAATGAGCTGTCCTTCTAAAATTTATAGAGTTAACTATGTTTGTTGATATTTTCAACAATGTTGTTGTTAACGTACTGCAGAATCTCATGCAAAAATTGAGCAGTATTTTGCCAATTACACCTTTGAAACTTAAGCTAGAAGCAAGTGCGTTGAAGTTCTTAAAAATATAAACCTAAGGCTACAAAAAAGTAAATTGTTGGGGGAAAACCAAAGACCAAGGCGCAGGGCGTTGCAATACTTTAAAGTCTATAAGCTTGTTGACTAACTTTCAGAATTATCTATATCTTAGTGAACGATAAATCCCATTTGTTGGTTGAAAAAAAAAACTATCCTCCTGCCCTGGTTGCAGACTGGACTATCTGAAGTTAAGCTTTATACGGAGTGTCCCACGAAACATGACATTTAATAAATAGTTATTTTTAGTTAAACAAATCTTTTGCCTAATTATATTTTACTTTGAAACCAATTTCAATATAACATGACTCCCATATAATATTTTCATTGATCTTTGGTATAAAACAACTGAACAAATAATGGAAAAAGTCATTTTAAACTATTCACCAACTGTCATGTTTCGTGGGACACCCTGTACCTCCTTTTCCATTTGCAAAACATGTACACTCTTGATCATGGATATCCTCACTTTCATTCAAGAACCTTCACAAAATTGTTATGATCTGAGAGTTACTTATAAAAACATTTATTCCTCTTTCGAGGATTTTTGGTAATGAAGACGACATTTTCATCTTTTCCAGGAATGTTCGAAAACAAGTTGGAAGCTAAATGTTATTTTAAAAAATAAAATCAAAACATATTATGAAAAATCAACTATATAAAAATGTGGCGAAAGATAATCGATGACCATAGGGTGTAATATCTGAATTATTTGTTTGAAATTAAATAGATTTTTTTACAGTCTAAGTCGTATGTTGCATCTTTCTGAATTTGTATTGATACTACGTTCTTCGGTATTAGTCGTTTTTAACAATTTTCTCCTTATAGACGCAACAGATTGAAGTAAGATTAGTAGCGATCAAAAGCGCTTTTTTATCGCATTAAGCCTATACCCCCTTTCATTTTTCGCGAACACTCCCTTTAACAAGTGTAAAATTGCAGATGTTACATACTTTATGAAGATTTATTTAAATTGATTTAAAAATAAAATCAAAAGTTTTAGTTTATTTTGATTTTGGAAAGAGTAAAAGATAAACATAATATCACATGGACTCGTTAAATAAAATATTAAGCTTTAAATATATTGTTTTTATACAACGCAGTTTTGTAATTGTTTTAAAGGAACTGTCATTGTTTTCTCAAAAGACCTTCGTGAATAGGAGCATGTCCAATTCACAACAAGACACCAAGATAAAGTTACTTTTCTAACCAGAAAATTTTTTACTAACTGAAGATTAATGATATGTCATGCATTCTTATTAGACAAAGCATGTAAAAGTACTGTTTTTTAAACTGACATGCCACTCTACGGGCAGCCGTAGTACAATTGAATTTCCGAGCCGGGTCAACCTTTCCTGTCCTAGTTTTACTATACAAAACTCTATGGATAGGACTAGCCATTGCAACAAGGTTGACGCAGTCAGGTTTTATGCTTTATGTAGGTTGAATTTACTTTTACCAAAGGGGCAGATTTGCGTGACTCTAAAACTGGAGAATCACTTAAAATTATGTTTAACAATCCCTTTAACTTTACCTGGCAAATTCAGGGACACAGGGTCCTGACTCATTTAGGTTTACACTCAGATTTTCAAATTCACACTTGGTGCCATCTTAAAAAAAATTTTAAAGTAAAAATATTATTCTTGTTTTACAAGTTTTTTTTACCTTCGGATAGTTTTCCAGTTGCATTACTCTCATCTTTAATTACTAAAAAAAAATTTAAAATTAAAATTAAAAATCACTTTTTTTTTAAATCTCCAACCTTCTTTATATCTTGTGCTTGTACTGGTGTTTGCAGTGACTAAAATACAAAAAAATTAAAAATAATGACAATATTTTAATCAATAAATTTTCAGAACTTATTAATCTGTAGTAATTATTTGGTGTTAAATGGATGTAATACCTGCTTAGGTTAAGCTAGGATTTTTTTCCAATTTTTTAATAAGGGATTTTTTAAATTTTTTTTCATCAATAATCAAAATCACTGCAAAAAATTATGTTTCAAGTGGGTCAGGTAGGTTCTTTTCAGAAAAGCAGGTTTTTAATTTTCAAATGTAGATGAATTATAAATTATGATGAATTAATCTCTGATTTTGAGGAGAAATAAAAAAAAAAATAATTAACACTAAAAAGGCAGACGTTTTGCCTTTAAAGAATAGAAATGTCAAAGGATTTTTTGTAGGGTACAGGGTGGTAAAAAGTTCGATCTAAAATAATCTAAATAACCCATAACTTTTACAGATCAAAAAACTGTATTCTTGAAAAGTCATTGAAAAGTAGATGTAGAAACATACAATTTTTTTTCCTTCATTGTTTTGGTCATTTTTCAATCCTCCTTAGCACCCAAACTGTAAAAGTTATCGTTCCAATTTTTTTTATCCAATCTTAGATAATGCAATACCTTTAGAAGTGCCAGAAGAGTTGCCACTTGCTAAATGATAAAAGTAAAATTGTTATTTTTTATTTAAAATTACCCCCCCCCCCCAAAATCAAGATTTTTAGATTTATTTTAAAAGAAATTAATGCATATTTTTTACCAAAATATTTTTGGCATCCTTTTTAGAAAATAAATCATTTTGAATAATAAAAAAATTTTGTCAAACACTTCTTAAAAGAAAATGTTTAAATTTTGATTTGCTTGGGTTATCGTCTCCATGCTTTGGAAATGTTTCAAATAACATGATTAAAGGTTTATTTGTCATATGTATTTCACAAGCATTTTCCGTTTTTATTGATTTTACAAAAAATATCTAAATCTAGAGAAAAAAATTTGTTTGCAGGTTTTACAAGAAAAAACATGATTTGAAACAAATCTTATTTATTTTCAGGATTAGATGTATTCCAGCTGAATCAAAGTTTAGAGTAACCTTCTTATCAAATTAATCTGATGAATTATTTGAAGAAAAAAATAGGCAAATATAAAATTTAACCTTCATTGTTTTCATTTATTGTTGAACTAACAGCGTCTGAAAAAAACTAAAATTATTTTTTTCTCTTTTTTTCTAGAATTAACCTCACCTCCCTCCTTCTCAGTGATTACAATCTTTTGTGCAGATATTCGGATTCCTCAACAAAATAATAGTTCAATTTTATAATTAAATAAATTTGATGATTTATTCTACAGATTCATTACATATCTTGACTTACAGATGTGTTTCTTTCATTGAATTACAAACTTATTTTATTTTTAGATATTTACAGAGAAATTTGACTTTACCAGGAGAATCCGTGGTTACCTAAAATTTCTAATTTCCCAAAAAAGTAGTTAAAAATGAATTTTATGGTCTTTTAACACAAAATTGCGCGATTTTTGTTCATGAAAACTACTTTTTACTTAATTGTCGCAAGGGACGTTAAGTAACATAACATCAACTGAGTGTGCCCAAATTCTTTTATGTATCTCATGTGACCATTTGTATAATTCAGGAGGATGATCGAAGTTAAAAGATTTGGTTTAAGAAAATTAAGTTTTTATCATTTTAAATTTTTTATTATGCTAAAAGAAAAATCCGCAAAATTATTAGTTTTATGATGTACACAGAAAATTGCTTAAAAAGCCACAGTTTAATACTAAAACTGTTACTAGAAAACGGACCATGAAGCACCTTGTTAGTCTGTTATTAGATTACACAGTTCATGAATATTACCTCCATTAGCAGTTTCATAACAGGTGCAATGCTGTTCACTAATATCTTCTGTTTCATTAAAATACCTTCACAAATCACATATTTATATATATACATATATGTATAACGTGGTGAACTCAGGAACCCCTGGACTGAATTCCTCCAAATTTTGAAGTGGGGAACTCGGTGGAACAATGGAAAGTTGACTTTTATGAGAAAAAAAAATTATTTTCCCAAAACTGGATTAAAAAATGCTTTTTGTATGAAACAAACTTAATGATCTATGTTAAAGAATAGAAAAAAATTTAATGATAACCTTTTTAATTTGCGAGTGCAAATAAACTTTAAATACTTTTTCAGATTGAAAAATGTAATTTTTGATAAACAATTAAAGTATCGAAATCGTAATGCAAAAACTTCTTTTAAAATCTAATCATCTACAGTCATTATCAGAAAGACCTGGAACTAATTGACAGTCGACTTTACATACATATATCTCTGGCAATTTCAAATGCTCAAAAAAGGCAGACCACATTTAGGAAAGAGCAGGACTAGGGCTATTTTGTGATTATCAAATTTGAAAAATTTGATTGTAAAGTTGTCTTGTTTGTAAATTAATTCCGAGTCTTTCTGATTATTACTGTACTTAAATATGTTGTTTCCTTGCTAGCTGAGGAGGACATGGCATGCTCTCATTAACTTTCATGCTCAGATTTTTAAACTCACAAGATAAACCATCTGAAAACAAGAATGTTGTTTTAAATAATTTTTATTTTTATTTTTTTTTACCTTCTGAAAGCGCCCCCTGTTCCTTCTGCTGTTCTGGAAAGAGCTGATATTTAATGCTGATAAGATTTGTTTGAAAACTAAAAATATATTTTTGAAAGTTTTGAATGATCTAACCTGTTGCTTGTGATTCATCAATTTCTGTTTTAATTGAGATTCCTAAATAAAGTTTTAATGCATGAGAACATATTGATTTTTTTAAAATTTAAACTTAGATATATTTTATTTAGATTTGCAACTTGGATATATTTTATTTTAAATTTGCAACTGGGATATATTTTATTTAAAAATTTTTAAATGGTTATATTTTATTTAAAAATTTCAACTTGGATATATTTTATTTTAAAATCTCAACTTGGATATATTTTATATCAAATTTTCAACTTGGATATATTTGATTTAAAATTTTCAACTTGGATATATTTTATTTAAAATTTTTAACTTGGATATATCTTATTTAAAATTTTCAACTTTGTTATATTTTATTTAAATTTCTTTTTGAATACATTTTATTTAGATTTGCAACTTGGATATATTTTATTTTAAATTTGCAACTTGGATATATTTTATTTAAAATTTTTAACTTGGATATATTTTATTTAAAATTTTCAACTTGGATATATTTTATTTTAATTTTCAACTTGGATATATTTTATTTAAATTTTCAATTTGGAAATATCTTATTTAAATTTCTTTTTGAATATATTTCATTTTAAATTTTCAACTTGGATATATTTAATTTTAAATTTTCAACTTGGATATATTTTCTTTAAATTTTCAACTTGGATATATTTTATTTAAAATTTTCAACTTGGATATATTTTATTTAAAATTTTCAACTTGGATATATTTTATTTAAAATTTTCAACTTGGATATATCTTATTTAAAATTTTCAACTTTGTTATATTTTATTTAAATTTCTTTTTGAATACATTTTATTTAGATTTGCAACTTGGATATATTTTATTTTAAATTTGCAACTTGGATATATTTTATTTTAAAATCTCAACTTGGATATATTTTATTTAAAATTTTCAAATTGGATATATTTTATTTAAAATTTTCAAATTGGATATATTTTATTTTAAATTTTCAACTTGGATAAATTTTATTTTAAATTTTCAACTTGGATATATTTTATTTAAATTTTGAACTTGGATAAATTTTATTTCAAATTTTCAACTTGGATATATTTATTTAAAATTTCAACTTGGATGAATTTTATTTTAAATTTTAACTTGGATATACTTTATTTTAAATTTTCAACTTGGATATATTTTATTTTAAAATCTCAACTTGGATATATTTTATTTAAAATTTTCAAATTGGATATATTTTATTTTAAATTTTCAACTTGGATATATTTTATTTAAATTTTCAATTTGGAAATATCTTATTTAAATTTCTTTTTGAATATATTTCATTTTAAGTTTTCAACTTGGATATATTTTATTTTAAATTTTCAACCTAGATATATTTTCTTTAAATTTTCAACTTGGATATATTTTATTTAAAATTTGAAACTTGGATATATTTTATTTAAAATTTTCAACTTGGATATATTTTATTTTAAATTTGAAACTTGGATATATTTTATTCAAAAAAAACACTTACCTCCATTTTTCTTTCTGCTACACGTGCACTTAAGATGAGAAATGTCTTTTTCTGTTTTAAAAAGTCTACAAAAAAGCAGCTTTCAATATTACAAAAAAGTAAGGTAATTTTTTTATTTTTTTTTTTGTGGAACATTTAGGACGCAAATTAGGGCTTGGCATGTTTAGACTTTTGGTAACAGTTAGTTTAAATCGTTAAAACTTTTCTTTGTCAAAGTTTCTGTTCGTTACCAATCCCAATTTTATTAATGACTTTATTAGAAGATATTTTAGAAATGGTTAACGGTGAAAAATATTTAAAACGTTAAAAAAATGTAAAAAAACATTAAAATTAATAAATTCATTTTTTATGTTCTGCAAGTTTCTCGCAATCTTAAGTTAGAAATTAACTAAAGTTGCCGTTTTTTCGAAACACATTTAATCGTTCTTATAAACTCTTAATATTGTGTAAGGCTAGCTGTTTCCGTTCATCAATGATTTCAAAATAAACAAATTCTGCTATTAGTTAATTGTTAATTTAAAAAAAACTAGCAGTTATTAAGAACATTGCCCAATGCCCAGCCCTAAGCACAACGTAAAATAAATGTTTTAACATTATAATTATTCTAAATATTACCCACTTCTTAAATTCTTCTAGATTGGAAGAACATGGAACTGATGAGTTTAGTGGTATTTGCATTTCTCCAATAGCACAAAAAGTGTCCTCTCCTTCTAAGAACAATTTAAAAAAGAATTTTTACTTGATAATAAAATTTATATATATTCTCAAGATACAAATATTATGCAAATAGATCATTTTTGTGACATACAAAATTATGTTTATTTTAATTGTGTAATTTTGCTTAAAACAAGTTTTTTTTTCTTTCGAATTATGTTGAACTAAGGGACATTTAATACCCAGTTGTTTGAGCCATTTTAAAGTTTGGGCACATCAAAAGAAAACATAACCCTCACCACAAACTCAAATGTTCTAATCCCAATTCCTAGTGTTTTTGCAAAATTTTAAAGGTTGCAGGTTGCAAATATAAAAATTTAAGTTTGTGACAAGCGATCAGCTTCCTTTTCATTTACCGGAGCTTGACGAATTACTGAAGCTTCCGCCTCCACTGCTTCCGCCTCCACTGTTTCCACCTTCACCGCCTCCACTGCTTCCACCTCCGCTGCTTCCGCCTCCACTACTTCCGCCTCCACTACTTCCGCCTCCACTGCTCCCGGGTAAATCTGAATAAAGGAATTGAGTCTTTGTCACAAACTCTGATTTTCTAATACCTATATCTTTCCAATCCGATTTCGTAGACGTTAGATATTTCAAACTATGAATTCTGTTAGATCGAATAGCCAAAGTTTGAATTATCAAGGGTTTCCACCATTAGGTTGCCAAGATATAAGGATTAGAAAATTTGAGTTTGTGGCAAAAACTCAATTCCTTTTAAATGTTTGCTTTAAAACCTGAAGAAGATGATGAGGAAGATGATGTATAAGAAGAAGAAGATGATGATGATGATCCAGGGAAAGATGATGCATTGGATGAAGAAGAAACTGAAAAGGGAGATCCATCCCCTGATGATTCTGAAAAGAATTCATCTTGAATCTGTCCCATTTTAAATAGAAAATTTTTTAATCTTTAAATGCTTTAATTTCAAATCTAACACTTTAATGTGGAATCTTATTTAGTCAAAAATGTCATAAGGACAAGTTATTTCCAATTGAAAATATAAATTTTTAACCCAGCGGTTGAAAGCATAAAAGTTGCTGAAAAAATCTTAAACCCATGGACTGAAAGCAAAAAAGTTGCTGAAAAATCTTAAATCCAGTAACACTTTCTTTCTCTTTTTAAAAGGAAGTTTTAAAAAATAACAAATAGTAATTAAAACTACTACTTCGTTTTTTAATTTGAAAAAAAGACTATTTTTTCTAACTTATTTGTTTGGTTTTCATTTTGATAACAAAATAATCATCTCGTTTTTGAAAAAGTAAAAACTATTTTTTATTTGATTTTTTTTAGACATTTAAATATTTGACCTGTTTCAGTTATAGTTGAATTAAGATTACCTCCATCCGGACTACGTGCATTATTTTCTATACAAAATGCTGAATTGTGAATTAATTTTTAAAATTTTTAATTCAGCAATGAGAGGTCTAATAGTTTTTACAAAAAGAATATCGAGTTTTCACTTTAATTTTATATTTGATTGCATTTCCCGTATAATTGATTTTAAATTGAATTTTTGTCAAAAAAATTATTTTTTTGGAAAATTTTGAACGATTTAAGACCTGATTCAGTTATTGTTGAATTGAGATTACGTTCATCTGGACTTCTATCCTTGTTTTCTAAACAAAATCAAAATTTATATCATGTGCTGTCATGTTTTTTTTTTAAGGTTACTGTAAGAATCATTTTAAGAATGTACGGTACTTTTCAAAAGGCTTTTTCCCAAGCAGCAACTTTCCAAATGTATTTTCCCAGATCGGCAACTTCCCAAATGTATTTTCACAGATCTACAACTTCCCAAATGTATTTTTACAGATCGGCAACTCCCCAAATGTGCAATATCCCAAGTGGCAACTTCCCAAATAAGTCCTAAACACAGCTCTCAGCACCTAGCATTTTATTTCAGTAGTGCCCAACCTTTTGCAGATTTCAGCGCTTCAGAAGGCATAACCAAACCTTTTGGTAGTTACCGCTTGGGGAATTGATCACTGGGAAGTCGCCATTTGAAAAAGTCTCTGTGAAAGTACCTAACACCCTTTTAAGTGATCCTCTATGCAAAGATGGCAATGCCCGATTTTTATAAATTAAGTTTATAATTTCAAAAAGTGATTGTCGTTTTGATTGTAGGAATTTAGAAAAGCCTGAAAAAATTATCAAAATCTAACATTTTTTAAGCAACATAATAATCAAATCAATGTAGATCAAACAAAGATTTCAAGGCCAAGGTTCTGTTGTGAATCAGGTATGTCCCTACTATTTATTAACCCTACATTTCTTATAATTAGCACCTTCATTTGGTGTAGTGTCAGAATTTTCATTTGGGCTTCCATTCAAATCTGTATCTGTAATTTGATAATGAGATCATTTCTATTAAATAAGATTTGGTAGTTAATAATTTTATGAGAACTAAAATAGAATAGAATTAAACAATTTTATTAAATGTTTTATCTAAAATAAAGATAAAAATATAAAATATAAAACCTTCAGTTGAGGGTTCAGTTGTGGTTGTTGTTTCATTTTCATCTCCTTCTGCATACAAAAATATAAAATAAAAAATACAATTTTTTAATTACGTTATTAAATGATTATTTCATCATTCATATTTACTTCATGGTTAATTTAATGAATGACATACATTTAAGTAATCATCTTAATATATAGTTAAATAATCTGATACTTTTTATAACACCGTGCTAAAAAGTAATGATCCTGATGTAATGTAAAATAAGCTGTAATTTATAAATGCTATAAAGTTTCAATTGGTTTCGGAATTTACATAAAAAAATTAAGTAAATTTCTTGAATTTAATTTTTAATTTTAATGAAAATAAAAATGAAATCGAAGGTATAAATCTGTTTAAATTATATTTTGTTCCTTGCTGAAGTTCGGGACAAAATATAATCTAAACAGATTTGAACCTTCTTGCTAAAGAGAACATTTATGTACAAAAACTTGAATAGCAATTTGTGTTCTTATAATACTTTTATCTTGGTTCGTAATCCCAGCCTTAACCCTAAACAGGCTGGGGAGGGGGTGTTTGGCGCACTCCCCGTCATGTAATTTTTTTGTCCTAGCACTCTCATTTTTGACACTATCACCGTGAAATTTTTACTTTTAATGAAAAGTAATTAAAGTGATTTTTTTTGAAAAGCCCTTGAAAAAGACATGTAGAAACATGTGTCACACTTTGATATTTGTTTAAAACATAAATTGAGCTAGCCATGAAAAATGGGCTATGAACATGCATTTCAACACTATAACTATTCTCTAAGGCCTTTTTCTCGGGGGGGGGGGGGGGTTCTATAAGGCCCCCCAGGCTCTACATAGATTCAGACCCCCTAGCCTTTATAGGGTTAAATCTTTTTGTCAAAACCTTGCCATCAGGATTCAAGATATAAAAATTTCAATATTATTTCCTGAAAGTTTAACAAGTTATTCTCAAATTTTTTTTATTTTTTTTCTTGGGAAAGTGTGGAAACCAATTAACTTTACAACCCATTTCTATAATACTTATAATTCTACATTATATTACTACGTTAAAGCACGACTAGAATGCAACAACTATCACAAAGCAAGCATGAATGATGAAGAATAAACACTAATTGTATAAAATATTAAATTACCTTCTGGTTCTGTAGAATCTGATAAATATCCTGGAGTGGTTTCGTCTTGTGTACCTTCTAAACAATAAAGGAATTGAGTTTTAGCCACAAACTCAAGTTATCTAAAACCTATATCTAAGTAACTTGATGGTATAAACCTTTGATATTTCAAACTGATATTATTTTATTTAACAGAATTCATAGTTTGAAATATCAAACGCATAGGACATTGGGTTCAAAAGATATAGGGATTAGAAAATCAGAGTATGTGGCAAAGACTCAATTTCTTTTAAAGCACTTCTTTCTAAGCTTATCAAAAAGACTTACAACTTTTTTATTTGGAATTTTCCTCTATGAAAGGTATTATCTTTTGTACTGTTCTCTCTTCGGAAAGTCTTTCTATAAATGTAATGGCTGTAAAATGTCCTGTCTACGAAATGTATTTCAATGAAATGTCTGTATCTATGAAATGTCTTATATCTATGAAATGTCTTTATTTATGAAAAGTCTTTATCCATGTAATGTCTTAATTTATGAAATGTATTTATCTATAAAATGTCTTTATCTATGAAATGTCTTTATTTATGAAATGTATCTATGAAATGTCTTTATCTATGACATGTCTTTATCTATGAAATGTCTTTATCTATGAAATGTCTTATTTATAAAATGTCCTGTCCATCATTCCATGATATATATTTTTTTCTAAAATAGGCATTTTGAGGCTTCGCGCCGCCTTTCCTGTAAATAGTTTAAAGTTTTAACTGTTGCTCTTAAATTCGGCCATTTAAAATCATTTTCAAATTTTGACGGATTTACTTTTTTAATTGACGTGATAAAAAAATTCCAGTTTTTTTCAAGGCATTTTTTTCTCCAATTTTAATGTTCCATACATCTTCCCAGGGGTCATGTGAGGCCCCAAAATTTGTTTGGGCCGATTGGTTCAGCCATTTAGACGTTTATGGGTTACAAACAAACAATTACAGACACCCAGACAATCAAAGTATATAAATAAATGTTCTACTATGAAATTTTCTGACACCGTAAATTTTACCTTCTGTCGAAGGAGTTATAGTTTCACCTACTTTGACAAAAAAATATATTTTACAACATTTACAAATAACATCTAATCTTCTTTTGAATGAGTCTTAGTTTCTTGTTCATTTTTATAATAAAGATTATTTTATAACGTTTACAGCAAAAGTTGAGACAATTTTTATGTAATACGATGATTTTATAATTTTAGACAATTTTATGATTTTAGATGATTTCTTGCTTTTAGATAATTTCATGTTTTTAGATAATTTCATGCTTTATCGATAATTTCATGATTTTAGATAATTTCATGTTTTAGATAATTTCATGTTTTAGATAATTTTATGTTTTATATAATTTCATGTTTTAGATAATTTCATGTTTTAGATAATTTCATGTTTTAGATAATTTTATGTTTTAGATAATTT